TTACTATGAGCACGAATGTGATAAAACGTAGAAACAAGGTGGCCAGTATAGCAGCTTTGAACGGAAAGCTAAGCTTTTCTCGTAGAGATATTCACAATACCGGCATGAGATGTGAACGTTAAGTATTTACAGGGAACACCAACAACCAATAAAGAAATATATTTTCAACTAAATTGAATATCGAAATCGATTTAACCATATCTGTCTGTCCGTCCGATTGGTGATATAACATTTGCGACTTCATCGTTTATTTCACAAGATGAAATTTAATCGCAAATCATTGTGTATTAGATTAAGTTCACTAATGATCTTAATTGCTCTATGATTTCATTTCTTTCCATTCCTATTGTCGTACGAACACTTTAGTGCCTTTTAATGTACAACTTTTCCAGTTTATTGCTAAATTTTTCCTTAATGTAATCGCAGGAGAAAGTTTAAAAATCAAATTGATCGGAATATGAGTTTGTTGACAATTAATAGGTGAGTCCTTAAACTATCTATATATATCGTACAGTTACCTACAAGACGCTATTAAATCGCAATAAGATGTGATCATCGAATTATCATATTAATAAAGAAAAGGAAAGAAAGATGTTGCGGCCTTTTTGAAAAAATGCCGTCTATGGAAAACAAAGTCGTAGCGCTACATGCCACATCGATTATGTGGGGCACACAGACGCAAGCGATTATTAAGTAATTTTTCCAGAACAACGTTAACAAGGTACGCTGACTCGTTGAAAGTTCGTTGAAAGTTCGTTGAAAGCTGACTTTTAAATACTTTGAAAATATTTAGATGATCCTCCATGCGAAAGACGTTCAAGTGTTAAAGGGCTTACAAGAAAATTATTTCTTCCTGAAGGTATGTCATCAGAAGTAAATACGTACAAAGAGGAGCATCTCTTAAAAAGTACCTAAAATATTAATGAGTATATACATAGTTTGTGAAGAATTCAGTGTTTGTTGTTGAAAATTCCAAAGGCAAAGACAAATATGGCCTCAGTATTTACATATAATATGTGATAGGCAAAAAAATATATTGGCCATTGTTACAGCGATCATTTAGTGTTTCTAATATAGTATAATGAACAAGGTTAGTACTACAACAACCGCAAGGACTACTACATTTGTGCTTGTAGTGTATATAGGGTCTTTCAGTAAGAGATTTTAATTTTCTTCATGCAATAGAGGCAATATTTGTACGGAACACAGCCGGAGTTCCTGCCATTCTGATCAGGTGAATTTTGCCAGAAGACTGGCAGCCTCACATGCCAAACCTCGAGCGTCGAATGAATATAGTCGTTTTCTTAGCACTGATTTACTGATTAGTTCAGTAAACACAATGTTTTTATATTTTGATACATTTCGGACTTTCGATAATATTTCAGAGTAAGGGCTTGTCGAATTGTGAGAATAGGAAAATAATTTGCGATTTCTATGAAAATTATATTCGCTTGATTACACTTCACATGGCTTTTGAAGCTTTGTCGTATTGAAAACTCACCAATAGCAACTTCCGAGGATTATAAAAGTTGCTTTTATTTACATACTAACCAACCGGATGACATGAAGCTTCTTCCAGATGTTAACGACGGTTGCACTAAGATTGAAAACAAACCTTTCCATAGTTATTACAAGCGCGTGAGTATTTTAAAAAAACAATTGATTTCAGTACAATGTTTTCTAATGCAGGAGCGTTTTTTCTTCTCATATGTGTACTAGGTCAGTTAACTGTCGTAGGCTTTGTTGCGTATTTAGGGCACGTGCCAACTCCGGTAAGTATTTTAAAAGCTAGAATAGTTGTATTTCTCGATAGCCAATGTTGTTTATACATTATACGTCTGTCTGCAATATTTAATTGCTTAAATGTTAATTTCAGTTACTCTTCGATGATGGACAAGAAAAGCATTTGGATATAACTTTCGGTCCTTTCACCATATTTTCTTCAAAACTCTCGAAGTTTTCTATCGCTTGAACGTTACTCAGAACCTTAGTTGCAATTTTACTTATTATTATTCGAATTTCTTTAGTTAGCGAATTTCTATTATGTTGATGTTCCTCGGTAGACGCTTATGGTTTTTCGATTTTCTTTCGACCTTTGTCTGTGTCTGTTAATTTTATTGCCTCAACTCCTTTCCGAATATCTGCTTCCATTTGTGTTTCTTGTTCTTCAGTTTTTAATTCGAAATATTTCTCCCGCGAGAGCAAGAGAGAGAGAGAGAGAGAACTTTATTTGTACATTTTTTTAAATTAATTAAATTTAATACAGAAAAAGCCTTTCTTTCTTCTAGTGCTTTCTTAATTTTCTCTTTCTCTTGTTCCTATTTCTCTCATGAATTAAATCTTGCATTATTTGCAACGTCTTTAGCCAGAAGAGAGAGAGTAGCACTAATAGACCTTAGGTATTGCGATTTTCATCGGAATAAGCCTTGTGAGTTTGCAGTGTTTCATTTTGTGCTCTTGCCTGGAAAAGATTATAAAAAATGATTCTAGAAAATCGCACACGCTTACATGTAAATCGGCGTAGATAGTGGGCATGAAGCTGCTGATGCAAAAGATTTCAGAAAGGACGTCGGTTGAATACAACGTTTTCACATTTCTTTTGTAAATCGAAAGATGTGCAAACTTTGAAAGCTTATATATCTGTTTGGTTGTGTTGGCTATGCAACTTTATTTAATCTATATTATAATTGAAAAGCATGATCGCGTGCTTCAATTTAATCAAAAAATCCCCTCCTTTCGTTAATAAAACTCCGCTCATGGTAATTTCCAAGTTTTTAAACTGTTCTGGTCACAGTACACGTTTGTGCAAATGCACAAGTTCGCAAGTTTGAGTTACGACTACCTTTTATTATATCGATCGGTTGAAAATCGTTTTCTAGATGAAGATAAGCTTGTCTATAGGTCTGATGCCTGTCCGTGTATTCTTGCGCTCAAACTACAAATCTCAATTTTCGAAATATTTGATAGAATTTGTTAGACAGACTTGGCGAGGCGAATGCCATTGAAGCGGTTGGGGTTCGATCGAAAAATAGTGTAATTGTCGGAGTTTCTGAACAAAAATTACTTAGTAATAATCGTTCCTACAGAATCTGAAGCTTGAAAAAGTTAACCCTTCTGCATTTGGACCTCGTAAGTCCGTATTTTGATCCCAATATAAGGACTTTGATGAGAGATACCTCTTTACATACCCAAAAAGTCGAGATTTTAATATTTGTGATAAAAATTGGTCGCCGCACTATATACAGGGACTCTCATGAAGGTAAAGTTTTCTGTGGCGTCAGACTGTGATAAGTAAGTCTTCGATAAGTAAAATTAAATTTGAACCTAGTTAGTTGACGTTTTGAGTATCCTCCAATATGAAATCCTATGCCTTCACTTAAAAATAGTGTATAACTTTTGTTGGATTATTACGAATATGAGTGAATATATTAGGCGAAACAGTGTAGGGTAGATCATTGTACGCTTTGCCCGACTACAGCGTTCTTATTTGCTTTATATAAAATTATAATTAATCGGTACACATAAAACATAAAACAATACAACAATTAAAACAACTTTGATTTTTCATGTTTGTTGTCGACTGTTTTTATTTTCTTTCTCTTTTTTCGCACTTGTTCTGGAAATAGTTTGTTAATTTAAATGGATCTACACATTGGCTGTAAAATTCATAGAATGGAGGAGGATGTAAACTAAAACTGTACACTTCTTCCACTTACTTTGCTATTTTGTGGGCGTTTGAAATAAAAGATCAGCCAGAGTGTCAGCATTCACCTAAACTTAACAGATGTGGTTATCACTACGAATAACCACATAAATTACATAACATTAAAATATAATTTATAAACCAGATTACGGAATTTGATCGACGATGAAAAGAGACAAACTAAAAATTCAAGTTTGCAAATGCGTGAGATTTATTCGATCATCGGCCCACAATACTCAATACATATTCAGCCACTCTCCGATATTTGACTGTGCTTATGCGTTTTGAGCTTAACTCCGAAAAGGAGTACAGAAGAAAAATCTCAGATGTGCTTAATGTTGATACCAAGCCCCTGGAGTAGTAGTTGCGGATTCAATAGATAAAAAGGCATTTTTTTTGCTACATATATTATAACAATCCAAAGAGATAGGTAAACAGATGTTCATATCAGTTGCGAATATTTCCGTTATTCCATTTGCAGCTTTTTACTTTCATGACAGTTTCGCAATAGTTCGTTGTACTTTTTATCCCTTTTTTTGTTTCGCTCACATAATGAACCAAAGAGGTTTTTCAGCAAACCTTCGGGCAATTTCAATTAAAAGTTTCAATTGAAAATTTCGCTCTCCTTCATCCGATTTTATTTCAACGTATTAACTTTCGATTTTGGTTCTCTGAGACTTTAGTTGTGTTTTCATTTTCATTCAATTGCTATTCACGTCTACTTGCATTCATGGCAGAGATCTTTTGTGAAATTTCCAAAGATAAGGAAAATATTCCCTTTTCTTGTAATCGTACAAAGGATGATACCAAACCCCGCATATTGGAATTTAAACAAAATGTTTATTTTCAGGAGATTTTTAGTTTTTCTTACAACTTTTAGAAACATTTTTCGCATGATTACTAAGTGTAAGTAACTTATTTATACATTGCCCTGCAAGTAAAGTCTATGGTAGAATATGATGACTCGAAGAGAACCAGGGTTGGATAGTATTCGTGTCACTTTAACTTATAATCTAATAATATTTTAACGTTAACGTAAAGTTCATACAGATATGCGATGATGAGTGGAAGATGGCCCGAGCAGGGGAATATAGATTTTACTTAACCTAACTAAAATAATAACAAGCATATGCGAACAGAAATTTCGAAATCCCAATAGGACTTCTTATAACTACCCAAGCTGCCGACACAAATTCATCACAGTTGTAACCGCCGACGGGTTACAAGTATTTTTTTGCACCATGAAATATTAACTCTTTCGAAGTCATCTAAATAGGAAATTTGTATAACAAAAGAATTACAATTATACACGCTCGCGCGTACGCATATATTTTTTCTCTTCTTACAAGCGCCTCGACACTACCTAGTACCTAGTTATGAACTAAATGTATAAATATTATCTTTTAAATAAATATAGCCATAAAAGAATAACGATTTCTCCCTTCGTCGCGCATCAATGCCACGAGAAAATTGCATGACTTACTAAAAGGTAAGCGGTGGATACTAGAATACTGCCGATCATAACGGGGAAGCCTACTCTGTAAATATAAAGAATTTGGCTTAACCGACTTGTAATTCAACCGAATTTGCTCTCGAAAACGTACTTGAAGAATTGAAGGAAGGTAAACTTATAACCGTGTTGTTCTGCAACACCAGCGCAGACAACATTCGCCGAAGCTCCAATCAATGTGCCATTGCCTATGAAAGTGGAAACCTTATTACATACATGCATATTACATTTATTGAAGTGTTTTCGTACCTCCCAAACAAGCGCCAAATGCTAGGGCCCAAACTAGCGGCTGCAATGGCAAATTGAGTGCTTTGTTTTGGGCTAACGATATTGTTATTTTAACCATCATAGTCGTCAAAGGTATGTTATCCACAAAGGCTGACGCTATTGCTGAAACCTTGAGCAAAAAAATGAAATGAATGTGGAGGAGAAAATACTTTTATGATTTCTGTACCCATCACCGAAAGATAAGAGGTATATTCATTTTGTCAAAAAGTTTGCAATGCCCAGAAGGAAGCATCAGCATCAAATTCTAAATCAATTAAAACATGTCCATCTGTCCGTCTGTGTATATTACAATGTTACAGCTCTTGAATGCACCTAAATATGGCTTGTTTGTCTGTCCATCTGTCTGTTTGGGTAGCTTTGTAGTATTTGTGATAAACATTCTTCCGTTAGCGAAAACGAAGATATTGTCCACAAGTTTGCAAAAGGTTTTGGAATCGAACTAAACTTTCAAAGAACACACCTACAACGCCCACATGCTTATTAGGCAAAAACGTTTATTTTAAAAATAGAAGAAATCAGTCTCTTTTAGCGCTTGTAAAGCGTAGGACACACGTGTCGACGAATATTCGTATTTAGTTCGCCAGTGGATTCATTAAAAAAGCCTGCCTGCTTTGGCCGAAAGTTGGTTGAAATCGGTGGCAAATAGTGCTTGGAAATATCACATAAATGTGAAAAATTTGAATGGAGCGGAACCATTTTATAAACTCGCTCATAATCAGGGCTGTCACACTACATATGACTTCATATGTAAGCAAGATTTATATGGAAATTGGACCAGAGTAGCGGTTTCGCGTATGCATTTATTATGCTTAGTTTGCGTTACATGGATCTATTTTTCGGACAGTTCCCAATAGAAGAGTCTTACATGATAACAAGGAGTAAATTTTGATATTTTATAATGAAAATAGGTGACGAGTTTCATTAGGGGAAGCA